TTATTCGTGTACGCACCAGACGGAAAAACAAAAAATATCGTGTATCCACAAACACTCCAATAAATAAATAGAATTGAAACGACACTTTGAAATGTTTTTCCGATGAAAATGAATAATAATAATAAGTTTCAATAAAAATAATAAAATGTAAATTGAATTTTATCATAACGAGTTTGCTTGAATTTCCTTTCTTCTGAGATAGTAGCAATGCGTGACGGGTAAGCTAGTAGTCTATAAAATAGACTATAATAATTTGCAGAAGTTTCCTTGCAATCAACAGGGATTCTCCAGAAATAACAAGTAGTCCTTTGGACAAAACTCTACTACAATTTGAAGAATGTGCTTACAAATAACAAAAATTATCTGAAAAAAATGAAAAAAAAAATCTATCCTGCATCAAGTCTATCAAATTATTTCATATATTTACTTTTAAAGACATTTAAAATTTTTTTAATAATATAATAAATGTTTTTTAAATGATGATATTATATATTTTATACTCATTCTTACAATATGTATTTTCCAGGAAAATAATTTCTTACTTGTTATTAACCAAATCTTGTTAGGAAACACACATTTCTACTCATAAAAATTATTTAAAATGCAAATGTAAAAATCCTTGTATATCCATTTTAAAATGTGATAATTAATTCATTCATTCATTTATTATAAATAAAAATTTGATTTAAAAAATCTATTGGTATACTTGTGATCTGTAAGCAAATTAAAATATTACCTTATTGTTAACTTAAAACATTCATTATAATAATTATTCTGTGTAATTATTTTTGTTTGTATAACCCACAGCAGCATAAATCCTGCAGAAAATTACTAGAAACAAAAATAAAACTTTTATATAATTCCACCCACCTTGCACCTATATAAGCAGCCAATGTTTCATAGGTGCAAGTTTGCAATTGCAATTTAAACTAGTATAACTGTATAACCCATACTTCTCTATTAAATTGTCTTTTAAATTCAGATAACCCATAAGGTTTTTGCTTGTAGTATGAAAATATGTTACTTAAAAATTTGATCAGATGAAATAATACTTCTTCAATGTGCATGATTGCAAGATTATGACTATATTATTAGCAATTCTGTCTTTGTTTGTACTTAAATGTCTTACTTTTTATCATGGGACACATGTTTTTTTATTTATCATTTTTTCAATTTGTGTTGTTTGGTCAGTGTTTTTATATAAAAAAATTAACTAAAGGCTGAATTGTGCATATTAAATCAAATGGTCAGATTATTTAAAGATGATTTTGAAGCTAGATTTAATTATATTGTTAGGAAATTTGCTACTAAAGGTGGTCAATGTTTCTATCTTATCTGAATTCATTAGTTCTAATCATTTAAAGATTAGAATTAATTTTAAATATGTAAATAATTTAGAATTAGCTGAAGGAAAAGATTTACTTGGAGAGACTCAAATTCACAGCTCTTGCACATTTATTACTATTTAACTGTCTAGATTCCTGATTCAAGTTTATCTCCAGACATATATGTAATTTGGAATTATAACATAGATTATATTCTCAACTATCTTTAGTATCAAATTACTTTTGTAATTAATTAGATATAGCCTGTAAATAATCTAGCTGTTTGGTTTACTAGACCTATGCTTTTATTGCCATATTCTTTCAAAATCGCTCTTCTGCTCATTGGGCTGTAATTTTCAAATTGTAGACCTATACCTTCCCACTATTGTCCATCTGTCTGTCTTTTGTTAATCTCAAGAACAGAGTTAGATAGATGAAAATCAAGATGAGATATTAGTCTATTTTAATCAAAATATGATTAAAAATTGCAATCTGACACTGTGATGTCACAATAAGGAATTTCAATTTTTCTAAAATGAATTCTGTTTGGAAGTCATGTCATTCAAAAAAAGCTAATTTTAGAATAAGAATATTCCATTGTTGTTTACACTATAAAATTAACTTTACATTATTCCTACTATAAAAAATACCAAGTCTCAATTTAACATATTCTTAATGAAGCCTTCATTAATAATGCTAAAATTTTCTTAGTTTTTTTTAAATTTTTCTTTGTGTTTTCTGAAAAAAATAATTTTTAATAATGCTTTTTCTTTCATAAAAAGAAATAAAGTTCAAATACTTTTAGCTTTCGGTAAACATTCTGCATAATTTTGTTTATTCCATCAGTGATATATTGGCAACATGAGAGAGTTTTGAGAGAAAGTAAGTGTGAGATTGTGAATGTTGTTTGTAATTTTGATGAGTGATTGATTGAAAAAAATTGAGATTTATTTATGTTTATTCAGGTTCATTACTTGATTATTCATTATAAAAATAACAGAATAATGTGATTTTTGATTTCATTTCTGTTTCTAAAAGCATTATTGATTACTTTATTTTGATTTTAATTTAAACTAAGAATTCATGTTTAAGAATTTCTTTAATGTTGTAAGTATTTATTATTATTTCAGTCTATTATAATTATATCATAAGTACATCATTCTTGAAATTCATCATATATGAATTTACAAATATTTTTTAAAATATTTAATAATTTTTTTATTCTTATAGCTGAATGTTAAAAATGTCTGAAAATCAACAAAACCAAGATCAAAATTTAGATTCTTCAAAGTTGGATGATGATGATCAGCAATCAGTTACAACTTCTAGACCAGCATCGCGTGGTGAACATCACAGTCCAACACTTAGTGCTCAAGGATCTCAAATAAGGACAAGTTTAAGGAAATTAACTCAAGAGAAAAAAGCAAAGAAAATCAATTTTTATCGAAATGGTGATCGTTTTCATAAAGGTTTATTATACGTTTTATCTTTGGAAAAAATTAGATCTTTTGATGCACTTTTAGAAGATCTTACAAGGTTATTAGGAAATCATGTTAGTCTTCCTAAAGGTGTACGTTATATTCTTACAATTGATGGAAAAGAAAAGATTTCATCATTAGATCAGTTACATGAATGGGAAAGTTATATATGTTCTTCTACTGATAACATTGTAAAACTTAATTATGGCAAGAAAGAAAAAATTGAGAAACCACCTCAATCAAATAGTATACGAAAGCCAATTGAAAATATTGTAATTCAGAAAAGTGAACCATCAGTTTCTTATTCGGAAAGTGGAACAAAAGATTTGCGTAGTTTTATCCATCCAAAATTAATTACAGTTATCAGAAATGGTGTAAAACCTCGTAAAACTGTAAGAATGCTATTAAATAAAAAAACAGCACATTCATTTGAACAAGTTCTTGTTGATCTTACAACAGCTATCAAACTAGATACTGGAGCAGTCAGAAAAGTTTTCACTCTTAGTGGAAAACAGGTTTGTTAAAATTTTAAAAAGCTTTAATATTTTGTTTTTTCAACAGCTTGAAATGACTTTATTGTATTGTAAAAACAAAAAATTATTTAGCCTCATATAATTTTTAGTTAACTTATAAACTTGAGGCTATAATTTTTAATTTTAAAGTCATAAATAACAAAAATAAATCAGATAAAACAGCTTACATTTCAAAATATAATAAACCATCTTTAATATTTTCAAATAAATTAATAAGAAACAAATGTTTTCAGCTGATTTGTAGAATAATCTTCAGATTTAAACAAAATTCTAAAGCAATTACATTCTAGAACATATGATGTGTAGAAATAACATGATGATGTAACCAAGGAAAGAAAATGACTCCTGAGAATTGCTTCGTGTAGATAGAATTTAAGAAATTTAATGTTTGCTTTAAATGAAATTTTACTGACAAAAAATTATCAAATTTACACTAATAGGTATACAGTAGTTTGGGACAAAATTTTACAGTATGACCAACAATGTCTCATGCGACAATAAACAAAGGTAACTTAACCTAATTTAATTCTAATTTAACTAGTTTTTGCAATAATAGGGCCCTGGATCAAGATGATGGGGTTTTTTTCTTTGGAAGAAATAAAAATTAAGATGGAAGAATTTAGAAAAAGGGGAGATAAATGATGAAAAAATTTGCCATGTGTCTTCAAAATACACTATAAAGTCAGTGTTTAATAAGTCAACAATGGTTGGTAAATTAACCTATGATTGTCTTTGTTCAGTGATGATGAGAAATTCTGTTTTGTTCTTACCAACACGCACGTGTTACTCCTCCAAAACTCAATCTCAGAAGATAAAGATGTCTGTCTTGTCCTTCTCTGTCCCTATATTCCTTTTTTTCTTAGTTTTTCTGACCAATTCGGTTCTACTCATTTTGTTTTAAAGAACACATTAGACCACTCAATAAGAGTGAGGTAATATGGACAAAAGGTCTGGAAGTACTGTTTTGAAAGAAAGGGAGGGAAGTTAAGAACACAAGGCATGATCAAGCCACAACGTACACTATTTGAAATTATGACTAGTGTAAAGAATTATCTAAGTCTGTAATTTAAAATTATTAAATCTTTTTTTATATTGTTAANATCATGAGACCCCATGGGCACCCTGCATCGGTCTTTATTAAAACAGAAAACAGATACATACAAAATAACATATAAAACAGTGGTTACAGAATTAGGTGCGACAAATGATATAAAACAAACAGATTACAAGAGATAACAGCAGGGCCATCAAAACAGAAGAACAATCAGAAGTAGGGTAATGCCACATTTTGCTATAAGAAGAGCACAGAATCTGCAAGTTCAGGTTCTTAAGCATCTTCACTGTTTCCTTACTGTAGTGCACTCTTGCATTGTCATGGTACAAGAAAAAAAAAGTTATTTTAAGCATTAATTTTGCAAATATGTATCGTGAGGTTTAACAATGCTTCATTGATCACTGTTTTTTGTAGAACGAAGATATATTCATTTTAAATTTAACTGTTAAGCAATGATATCAAACAATGAACTGAAACTGAATATACAGACTAGACACTTGTCGTTATTAAATGGTGATGATTGTTTGTTTCTATACTGCACTTTGTAGAACTCTGTGGTAAGTGGATCTTATTTATCAGTCAACTTTCAAACCTATATTTTTTTCATTATCATACATATACAGGGTATTATTAGTTAATAACTCAGAAAATTTGTTTCTAAAAAATTGTTAAGAATAAATTTTTAATATTTTCTTAGTCGGCTTTTTTAATGCCATAAAAGTCTTTGCCTATTTCTCTCTTCTGGGTGAGGTGAGGCAACTTCAAATTTCAAATGGAAACATTCAATTTCCTTGTATTTTTGGATTCTCTATTAAAAAATAACAAACTTTTATTGAGAATGTTTTTGAAAAAATGTTATATATATTCATACATTTGAAAGATAACATTCTAATAATGCACATCCTATGAGGTTTTATAAAAAAACTAGCTGCAAGTACCCGCTTCGCTGGGTTTTTATTTATTCGTACATTTATATGTAATATAGTTTTTTTTTTTTTACATAAAAGACTTTCTCTTCCTCTACATAATCTTTCTCTGATTCGATGTGTTTACCTATAATTTTCAAGTTGCTCTTCTGCTTGATTATTTCTGTTTCGTTGATAATTTTTCCTAGCAATGTTAGACGTACTTTTTTTCCTTTCGTTGTTTTAATTTATTCGTACATTTATATGTAATATAGTTTTTTTTTTTTTACATAAAAGACTTTCTCTTCCTCTACATAATCTTTCTCTGATTCGATGTGTTTACCTATAATTTTCAAGTTGCTTTTCTGCCTGATTATTTCTGTTTCGATATGATTTGAGACCACAAAACTTCTTTCTTATACTTTGGCATTGTTTTTTATATTCTTACTTTTCACACTTCACTATTCACTTTTCACTTTCTACTTTTTTCTGTTATTTGTACACTTTTACTAATGAAAAATCAACTGATGCATGTGCATCACACATCTCCAAAAGCCATCCTCACTACTCACATGTAACAGTCCTCGACAATTCCAAAACATTTTCAACTATTTGAAAACATTTAAGATTAAGATTACATTATAGCCAATCTTACTCGTTTTCACAGAATGCAAGAATTAGGTCCTCTGTTTCCAGACTAATTAGAGAATTTTTATATGGGTCTAAAAATATGTTAGATTTCTCGCAAAAACACAAAAACCGCATCTGTGCCTGTAAATCTTGCACACTGCTTTCTCTTAACACTTCCTTTGTTACTCAACACTTCCATTCTTAACACTTCCATTGTTGACACTTTCATTGTTACACATTTTCGAAGTCAACCACTTTCAACCCCCATATCTCTCACACCCTTATAGCTATCAAGATGCAACCACCATAGTGCATGATAGAAGACTTGGGGCTACTACCACACACAAACATCATTCATGTGTGATGTGTAGTTTTGGCTGCAGAGTGAAATATAGGGACAAACACGTCCATTTATATATAAATATATATATATAGTTAATTGTTGAAACAAAACTTATCTATATGATTCAATAAATGAAGCAAAGAATAAATGATGTATATGCTAACAGTGGTTCTCAAAGCGGGTGCCGCGGCACCTTAGGGTGCCTCAAGAACGCCACAAGGGTGCCGCGAAATTTTTAAATAATTAAATTAAAATTACTTAAAATAATTGAATTAAAGTATTAAATTAAATAAATAATTAAAAGATACCTTTATAATAATAACTTTTGTTTTGAATGCTTTTGTGTTGTTTGGAAATAAACTTACTTTAATAAAAAACTTTTATTTTTTTCAAAGTCTTCTCATCCTTCATATCTTTACTAACCGTAAAAAGCAAAATAATAAATAATAATAATAGGGGTGCCGTGAATTTTGTTTAATAATTTCAAGTGTGCCACCTGACAAAAAAGTTTGAGAAACACTGC